GTGTGTGTGTGGTTAAACATTTGCCTGCTGGACAGTGAGGCAGCATTTTTATAAAATGTATATAAAAAAGAGAGAAAGAGCAAGAGAGAGAGAGAGAGAGAGAGAGAGAGAGAGAGAGTCAGTGCTCAGAGCAAGACAAGCACAGCAATCAGCCGATTTTATCAGTGCAAAAGGAGAAAAAGGGAAAAATTATATATAAAAGAAATTGCGAGCTGAAAAAATTCAAACAACATGCAACAAAGTCGTGCGGACGCGAGTAGATTGACTGGAAGCGCCCAAAAAGCGACTCCAGTGCTGCCCCACTCTCTCTCTCGCTCTTTCCCTCACTCTCTCGCTCTGTTTCGTTCACTCTGCTACTCCACAGAGATGAGGCAAAAAGTGTTGTGAGTGTAAAGTGTTGCACATCAGGCCACAATGGCGCTAAGCCAATAAATTAAATCAAACAAGCGCGATAACCATTTCACTTTTGCCATGTCTATCCACACACACACACACACATACAGCTGCAACATTGTTGTTCAACAACAACAACAATAAAGTTAAAATGGCGTAAACAGTATAAAAAACTGAAATGCATGAGCTTTTCACAGTAGCAGCCGCAGCGACAAAACAAAAACACTGCAAACAAAAAATTCTAGAAAAAAACTGAAAAAGGCGTTTTAAATGCATTTTAATAAAAGGCAGAAGCGAGAGAGCAAGCGAGACAGAGAGACTCAATGCGAGAGGGAGGGGGAGGAGAGCGGCTGAGTGTAGTCAAGTTTGAAAAAGTGTGTGGTAAAAATTTTGTAAAAGCTTTTCTGACACTTGGCTGCGTATATGCCATAAAATATGCTGCATATTGTTGTTGTTGCTGTTGTCGTTGTTGTTGTTATGACTCGCTCATCAATATATAGAAATATTTGCGTGTGTTTGTGTGCCGGCTTATGGAAATACTGTTAATTTTGGCCAACACAAGAGGACGCCATTTTGTTGTCGCTGGGAAATTGTTTAAGGCTGTTGCCATGATCGCCAATTTGGTTTTATAGCTGAGGAAGTCTACTTCAATAGTCATGGATTTATGATATGTGCCACGCCTCGTAGTAGATGCAAATGAAATATATTATTAAGTTATTAGCGAG